ATGAATACATCTTAGAGGGTTGCTAAAGGAAAGGGAAAACAGTAGTAAATGAGAAAGAGGAAGGGGTTGATACGAAAGGATGGATATGAATATTTCTGTAGCTAGTAAAAAGATATCTTGATACACTCTAGGTTACAGAAAATATTTTGGTTGAATTTTGGAAACTAGTTTCGAGAAAGGGAAAACAGAGGGGTGGTAAATGAGTACGGTCAAGAAAGGGGTTGATGAAGAAGGGACGATATAAAGATTCCTCTAGGTAATAGAAAGATATCTTAGTACAGTAGGTAATAGAAAAAAATATTTTGATTTAATTGTTGGGTTGTGATGAAGAAAAGGAAAAGATAAGGGTAGCAAATGATGGAGGTCAACAAAAGGGCTGATAAAAAAGAAAGGTCAAGCAGCTTCCCCTAGCCTTTAAAAGAATATTTGAGTACACATTAGATCCTATAAAATATTTTGCTGAAATTTTGTAGTCTATTATGAAAGAAGAGAAAAATAGGGATAGTAAATGAGAAAGTTTAAGAGAATTGTTAATAAAGAAGAAAGGTCAAAAAGCTTTCTCCAGCTAATGAAAAGATATCTAGATATACAGTGGCTTATAAAATCTTGAATATTTTAATAAAACATTTTACTTAGATCTCAAGAATTATGACAATCAAAGATAGGGGTAGAAAATGAAGAAAGTCAATAATAGGATTAACAAAGAGAAAATGTTGAGAAGCTCTATCTAAGTAATGAAAAAATACCTAGACACAAAACGTATCATAAGACTTCTAGGTTAAATATATAAATACTTATTTAAATAGATTTGCATAAAATAATCTTGTTTCCAAAGTAGCCAATCATTTCCTTCTATATAGACCACATGGATCGTAGAATCAGATTAGACACGTATCATTATGGATTTAAGAACGAGGAAAAAATATTTATTGGAAAATTCGATGAAAATGATTCTTCAAGGGTAACCAATAGATGTCTCAGCACGTTGAAGAAAGGAATTCATTCAGTCAGGTCATGGGACCAACTTATGCTCGAGCCAACAAATCAGTGCCTGTCGGGGGAAGCTTGTAGACCTTTCAAATAGAGAGTGGAACGATGCTGGGAGCCACGCCGTATGAAAATATTGGCCGTTTTTCATAACTGGAAGACTGCGCTCTTTCCGAACTCCTACACTTCGGCCTGAGGAATTCATTTCATCCTATAACAGGTATCTAGCGATGGGAACTGAACGCTCTCGAGTCACTAATTCGAACAAGCACAGTCAACAAGTGTCAAACTCATACCACTGATTGAAAACTTATAATTAAATACCTACTTGGCTGTAAAATTATTCTAATGAAGATTATCAAATAACCTGGGATACTAGTGACAGAAATAAATATAGTAGTGAAAAAATATTGAAAAATGCAATACTTAATCGTATTTGATAGAAGTGTTGTAATATGTTTTAATCTAGTTCAACCCTTTGCCTAGTAATATTATTAGACGAATATAATTCTGTACAATTCAAACTTGAATTCTTCAATCCTTAAATTAATGTTTTTTTTTAAATTCCTTCAGGTTAAAGTGAAATATTATTTTTCAATTGCAATCTTCAAAAAAATTGCAATGTATTAAGCTTGAGTTACTCTACTTACACACAAAGTTTTATCATTTTTGGAATGTCTGGGTTCGATAGCTTTCCTTGTCGATAACTTTGAACAGTGAACAAACTGATCTCGACGCGACTGAAAGCCATCGCTAGCCACGCAGGATCCGAATTTCCATCGATCAGGGAAGCAATTTAATCTCAAGCAGCGAATGGAAATGAATACCGTCTTTTTCCATGCGCATATTCCTTCGATGTGTTTTTATTGATTGATGCCGGGCCCGTGGCCGGCGGATAATACGCGCGGGACCGGGGCGCGATAAAAGTGAACGCATCGTTCATCAATAAAACCGTGACGTCGACAGAAATTTCGCCTCGGACCCCTTTCGAAATCGCTAAATCTGTCGGTTTCCGGCCGGAAGCTGTATTTTTCCACCTACGCGGTCGTAATCATAATCCTGGAACGTTTAGCGACACAAATATACACAAATACACAGACACAAATATTTTAAATCAAGAATTTATACATAATAATTTTAAGTAATATTAATTTCAATTAAAAATGATGAATTACCTTTCTTAAATACATTTCCTTTAAAATATACCTTACATTGTAGTATAAAATATAATTTACCTTAAATATATATATTATTAATATTATAAATATTATATTTAATAAAGGTAATTCTTCATTTTTAATTAAAATTAATATTACTTAAAATTTGTTATATATAAATTCATGTTTTCAAATATTTGTGTCTGTGTATTGGTGTGTAACATATACATGAAATAATATTATACATCTTTCTTTAATTTTTCGTGCACTCTGGTTAATTTGCAACTTACGCTTTACAATTTACTTTTTACCATGTCGTTTGAATATTTTCACTGTTGATTGTACTCTCGTGGATACCGTTGCCGAGAAGTTTCCATACGTTTGTTTTGTCTCTCTTCGGAAAATACAGTTTAATACAACGGAACAGTTTACAGAGACAACATGTTCAGTGTCATTCCCACTTTACGATTTCCTCCCGCATGTCGGAACCTTTTTGTATTATATGAAAATTGCGTTTCAGCTTTAGGGCCAACCGAACAGGAAATATCCTTTGAATTTAGGAATATGAAGTCTGGGATATGTAATAACCTTTGAAATCTCGGTGAAGGTTTGTTTGAAAGATCGCATCGGATATTTTGATGAATCATGTCTTTCCAAATTTTGTTTAAAGTTAAAAATTTGGGGCCTCAGATGTTGGTGATTAGAAAGTAACATAAAAATAAACTAAACTCTACAATAAATGTAAGCAAATCTAGTATGAAACAATTTCAAATGCACGTTCACCTATCACAGCGACAAAATGGCGCGTCAACGTGATCGAAGTTCGAGACAAGTAGCGTGGCGTACGTGGGTCTGCCGTTTTGGCATGGGATCAGCGATCGCAGTTTTAATTGTATTTTGTATCGGACGATTTAACCCGGCCGCTGTATTATCTGCCGTGCGAACGGTAAATCGCTTACAGTACCCGCCGAAAAATAAATCATTAGGGAACGCGGAACATGGCGCTGGCACAATACGGAGCCAAATTGATTTAACGGTGAAAGCACGGGAGTAATGGTCTATTATTTTCACGGTAAGTTTACTCTCGCCGGGCCGAGCCGTGAATCGGTTCGTAAACAATGGCCGGCGATTATTCATAAATTTTCGTCGAAAAATCGTCTTCGCGAATCGAGACTATCGTCTTGCATTATCAAATTGATACGACTCAGAGGTGTTCCACTTTTCTTAGAAACGGCGGAAATGTCAAATCATTGCCGTTTGAGCGAGGCTGCGAAGTGTTTCGCTCGATAATCCGGTTATTATTGGGAAAAAGTAATTTTAAACCTTTCGTCTCTGAATATGTATTTTGTTCAATATGAATTTACTGTGAATAAAGTAATAATAATAATATTAATCGATAAATACTTAATATTTATATATATATATATATATATATATTTATATTACATTTATACATATAATTATTAATTATTATTATAGATATTTAATATATATTAAATTTTATATTATATAATAAATATTTACAACAATAATTAATAATTCTTTAAACTAATAAAAATAATTTTAAATGAAGATTTCACTCTAATATAATTAACGAGCATAAATCGTGAATAAGTAAGTAAACGTTTAAATCATTAATTTTTCAAAAATCATGTGAAAATACAAAATAATAATAAAGTATTAATATAACAAATAATCATACATCATATTATAAGTTAGTAAATTTTTAAATTGTAAATCCTCTAATAATAATTTAGAAATATAAAGAAGCTAAGAAATCATAAAATAAATCATATATGTAATAATAATTAATAAATTGAATAACGATAACGATATTTTATTTATTCGTTATTGTTTCTAAAATTATACTCGAATAACGTCCAGCATTGGCTATCGGTGCTGTTGCATTGTTCCTTTAGTACTTCTTTAATTTTCAATGAACGTCAATAACGAGCTATTTTATTAACAACAATCGATGCATAGCTGTACAATGCGTTCGTTTCAATTGTTCCGTGAACATTGTTAATTGTTCTTTCGTTATTGAATAGGTCGAACGGTTCTGCAGATCGATCCGGTTAGTTGAGACAAACAAATATTTTTGAAAATAGATTTCACTGTAAAGATTAACGAGAAAATATTTGTCCTCAAATTGTCTGAACAAAGTTTTCAGAAATCCAGTTGAATTTTTTATTAAAGAATATGTAATTTCGTTAATTAAACCATTATTCTGGTTTCTATGTTTACCAAGATATTCTAGTAAATGTTTCTTCTAACTTTAAGGGCAGTTTTCACCCTTTTAAAATAACTCACTTATAGGGAAAATGGATAATCGATATTTCCATGATAACTACTTTCATAAAATTCCATATTTCATAGAGAACTGTAAACTACAATTCATTCTTAAGATTTGTAATCATACTGCGAAGCTTCATGCACTTGCAACGCGCAGAAGTCTCAAAGAAGACTCATAAAATACCAATGTCAAACAGATTTGACACTTTCATTTTATATTCAATCCACCAACGCCGTTATCTTGCAAAATAGACGATTACCGAGTCAAGATTCCTTGGTTCAAATAAAAATTTTACCCGGCATTAGTTCGAAATTACTAATCGCCTGAAACTCGCCGAGAAATTCAATCGAACAGAAGTTTCTGTAGTTGTTAAAGTTTCCTTGATTAGTTCTCCCGAAAAAAAAATCTGAATGCACTCGAACTTTCGCGTTCTGCAACAAATGTCCGGCACAGTTTAAACTAGCGTCGGACGAATATTCAGCGAAACTTCGTTCTTATCTTCGATCGAAATAAAATTTCGCGCGACGAGAGCCTGGACACCGATAAAAGGGTTCTCCACTTACTTGAAGAAGTAAGTGTCATTGACGTAGCCGAAGAAAGGAACGGTGTAAGTCAGCATCCAGATATTCCCGCCGCCGCAATCGTAGTACGGCTTCGACCACCTGCCGTCCTCGTATCTGACGGTCAAAATCTCGTCCTCCTCCCGTTCCGTGTGCGTAGTCTCGTTCATGGTGTATGTGTGGAAACCTGTCGACAGGAAAGCAAACACCAGAGGATCAGTCAATGAAGAAAGAGCGAGAAGAAAACAGAATATAAACGGAGGGATGGACGAGAAGGAAAGGTAGAGATAGATAAAGAGATAGAGAAATAGGTTATAAAGGAGAAAAGAAGAAAAGGAAGAGTTATATGGGAAAGAAACGTAGAGATAGGTGAGAAGAGAGAAGGGTAAGAAAACGAGGGATAGATGAGAAAGAAGAAAAAATAGGTTATAAAGGAGAAAAGAAGAAAAGAAA